AGCCAGGCTGGACGCTGGACGGTTATCACTGCTGTGAGGCTGACGTGGGTTTCCTGTGGGGAGGAGACTAGAGCACCACAGCAGTGGCTGCTGCAAGTGAAGTTCCCCACTTAAAAAAGTATAAACAAACAGCTGTGCTCAAAAAGGGAAGAGAATATTTGATTCTTCATGCTGTTTCAGTCTCTTGGCTGTTAATGAGACAGTTCAGCACTTATTTGAACATACAGCAAGTCAGCTGGAAAAATATGTTTTAGTTTTAACCCTTCAATGTACTTTTTACTTTTAAAAATATCTTTAAGTAAAAATAATCTTATTTCAGAATGAAATATTCCACAAGTTTCATGAAGAGAAAAATCTGGCTTTCTATGGTGGGGGAAAAAAGATTTCAAAAGAATCAAACAGAGCTAGCAACATATTTTACATGATTTTTGGCTATTACTGCCAATTATTTTTCATTGTAAGGTAAAGTATAATATAGAAAACATACTAGGAAAAATTTTCTTAAGCCTGATTTTGTTAGCCATCAACTTGAACTTAAGTATCATTCTAGAAAGAGTTTTGGTTTATATAAGAATAATGGGTTTACTAGGCTCCAAGTCAAGCATCTGCTTTTAAAATTTTTTAATAAAGGTATTTTAAGAAAAGGACTAATTTTCAGTAGGTTTACATATTACTTTAAGAATCATCCACACACTCTATTCTTTACCATATATTAAATATTATGGTAATTTTTCCTGTCAATCAAAATTTAAGTGTTTCTCTTTATTGAAGAGGCTTGCCTTTTATGGCATACTGCACCTTTAAGCATAATACAGAATGCAAAGTTATCAGCTCTCACAAGGGATGTCATTTCTGTGCAAGAATCCCAAGACCCAACTGGTTAACAAGTCAGGAAATAGATATAAACACCATGTGGTGACCCACTTTTCTTATGTCCTTTGTATTGCTGGGACTTAGCCTTTTTCTTCTGTTTTGATGAACCTGATTGGCTTTCTCTTGATGCTGAAAAATAAAAGGGAAAATTGGTACTAGGATAATTGCTTACAACTCTAGATACAACTTAGATGAACTATCTTTACCAAGACCATTATGCTTGTAAAAGTACATGATGCTTTGAAAATAAGAGTATTTGTTTCTGCAAAACCATGAACCTTAATACCAGACAGATTCCACTATTTATTCAAAAAGTACTTCCTACACACCAGCAAATTTTAGCCTATAATTTTAAACTCATTAAAGTAAGTCTAGTTTAATTTGGTGAGTGTCTTAATGCTGTGTTTCTACAGTAATTATGTAATTGACTATTGAGTTCACACTGCCATGGTACACATGGTCTGATTCTGTGATATTGTTGTTGAGTCTTAAGATCTTACCTGGCAACCAATCAGACATAGGTATATTCTTGTCCTGTGAGCTCACAAGATGATTATGTGAGATAGTCCTCGGAGAACTGCTGATTTTTACAAAAGGACACCTTTTCTGTATACCAACTTACACTGTGATGCTGGAGGCTGTAGTTGATATCCAGTTAACTGACACCACCCTACAGGATAGAGGTCAGGGGACTCACAGTCTACCCACTGATCATACTCTTCTTCCCATCCATCAAAATGTATCCTCAAGAGACGATGAATAATTCGAGTTACTGTGGCTACACATATTAATCGTGGCTCCATGAGATCTACTGCTTCTAACTTCATTCCTACACGAAATCCGTGATTTGGAACATCCTAACATGGAGAAGCAAAACATTAATACTAGTGAAAAAAACGTATAACTCCACACTAAGAAAGAAAAGAAAAGAAGCAACATAAGCAATTAACAGTTTAGACCAAAAAATCCCAAATAATTCTTTAATTATTGAAACATATGAAGGTAAAGCAAGTAAGTACTAGTTAGGAACTGTATTCATTTCTATTTTACTCAGATTAAAAATGAAACAAAGTTTGGAAAAAAGCTTCAATTTCTAGGTAAAGATAATACATTGTTTTACTAATATATATTTATTTCTATTAATTTCTACCAAGAAATTCTAACATAAGGCAAAGATCTGCTCAATGATGATTTGCATTTGTGAGGCATCAAAAAAATTCCATGTAATCATTTAAATTTACCTTATTAAATAGTTTTACTGGTGCTGCAATGGAGCCAGTTTCCCTGAGGTAGTCAAACCATTTAAAAGGAAGTTTTGTATAACCTGAAAAACACAACTGGTTTAACTAGCAGTTCATTTAAAATTAGCATAATATTAAAATGTAGATATAAAGTAATTCAGTACTCACTACAATCTCAGATTTCATGTTATATGATAAACTTTTAACTCAAGCTCTAATATTGTTGCCTACAGTAGTTTCTCCGTTTTATAGATTTTCCTCCTTTTCTAGACAGACACCGGTGTGCCCACTTACTCTAACGCCAAAGTGACTCTTCTGTCTACAACAACTACAGACTTCTGCTTTTCACAAAATTTTTACTTTATTATTTTTAATTGAAGTAGAGTTGATTTACAATGTTGTGTTAGTTTCTAGTGTACAGCACAGTGATTCAGTCATACATATTCTTTTTCATTATAGGTTATTATAAGATATTCAATATAGTTCCCTGTGCTATACAACAGGACCTATATCTTGTATGTAGTAGTTCGTATCTGCTAATCCCAAACTCCTGATTTATCCCTCCCCAACCCTTTCCCCTTTGGTAACCGTAAGTTTGTTTTCTACATCTGCTCAGGCTTTTGCTTTTTCAATCCTAGGTTTAGAACAGTCTAACATTTAATATTTCTCAGTAACATTTTTCTTTCTTTGTAAGAAAGAAAACTGGCTGAGCAAACACTATTTTTATAGTTCTCTGTTCTGATTTTTCTTCTTCTCCAGAGAAAAACTCAAGGCTTAGATACTGAAATTAGAAAAGTTACTGATTAGGCCATAAAAGCTATTTAAGGGTATACATTCTTTTTTTAAAAAGTCACGTGGTAATCTAAAGATGGAAACTTGCTTTCCTTCAAAGGCTAAAGTATTTATTTTTAAAAAAGTCTGTGTATGCGATAGCCTTTTGAAATTACATCACCATCTCAACAGAGCTTGAGAATACCAATTCAAATGGTAAGGGCACAGATGCTTAGAAAAAATTTTATACCAACGTAATTTACTAACACTAGCTAGGATACAGTGCTTTATGTTTTTAAAGTACCCCGCAGCTCTTGTGTGTATGTTTGTATGTGTACACACCACATATTAGATATTCATACAACAAGAAATTTTGGGCTGTGGTAAATGTTGTAAACATGTACCGGGTAAAAAGAAAGCAACGGTGAAATATATATATATATACGTAAGGAAGAAGTACCTCTGGGTGGAGTAAGTTCAATCATGTTAATTTCACAGAAACCAACAGGGAAAATAGAAGGGGAGGTTGCATGATAACAGAACCAGTCAGATCCATCTGCTGCTTCTGAGCCATCGATCCCAATCATCAGGAATCCATCAGCCAGCACCTTTTAAATTAAGTATTTAAAATTAGGTACCACTATTATACAAACAATCCTTTAAATTAAGTGACAGTTTAAAAGAAAGGGAAATCTTTATCATATAAAGTGAAAAATGCTTCTTTATTGAATTATGTTAAATAACCAAAATTATAATAATAATAAAAAAACTATGTAACCCTAGTGTGTACCAGAAACAAAAGCATGGTTACACACAAGTGATTTCAGAGGTCCAGGGAAAAGAGCTCCTCTGCCAGTGGCTATGGCTGTCTGCTGCGGTGGCGCCATGAAAACGGGCTGAGTGCTCCTTTACTATTCAAATCCCTAGTCATGGCTAATACCTCTACCTATTTCCTTCTGATTTATCACAGACAGTTCTCCTTCCTCAGGCTCCAGCTGTACCTCTCTTACACTACGGACACCCATGCTCCTCTAGGACAGAAGCTACATGAGGGGCCTCACAGTCCGTCCTTCACATCTCAGACTGTCATCGTCCTTTCCTCCCCTTCAAGACACACTTCTCCATCTTGTTCTACTGTCACTGACACCTTGCTCCTAAAACACCATCTCTTATACTCTAATGTCTCCCAATTTCCATTACATTAAAAATGTTTTATTTTGAAACAGTTTACACTTACAGGAAAGGTACAAAGAACAGTATAATGAACTCATACTTTTCACCCAGAGTCCCAATTTAAGGTATGTACCATGTAACTCCTCGCAGTCTGACTGTCCTTCCCCTACTAAACTGCGAAATTCACCAACCACCTCCTAGTTTCTCAAGCCCAGTGTTTCTTCCCCAACAAACTCTCCTCAAACTTCAGCCTCCCTACAGTATCTGATATCTGTTGAGTACTCTTAATTTTCTGAAACATTTTCTCCCAGACTCTCATTACATTACAGCCTACTGATTCGCCTTCTCAAATTCCTTCCACATTTCTTTTGGTGGCTACCCTTTCCCCTCCAAACCTTGTTTCTGATTTTAGCCCTTTTCTTTTGTTTGGGTGATGTCATCCACACCCAAGCTTCAATGACTGACTTTTATGCCAACAACTTAAGTTTCATCATGGGTTTGTCTCCCCTCCAGAGTCTCAGGCCTGCATTTTACCTGTATGCTGAACACATCCTCTGGGAGTTAGTATTGGGCATCAAACCAACAACTCCTTCTCCCACTCCTTACAAAAAGCAATCAATCACCAGGTCCTATCATAACTCCCTTCTAACATTCAGCATCTCTATCCTTGCCATTCACTCTCTCCACTATGTTGTTTGATTTCACTGCTTTCGGCTTTCCTCCATGGACACTCCCCTCTTACACAGTTAAACTTTCCTATTGTATGACCTCTGCTCATGCCAGAAACCTGTACCAACCTATCCTGTTCATGAAAGAAAGCTCAGACAGCCTAACCAAGCATTCAAGACTGAACAACCTGGTTCCACATCATCTTTCTGTCTCTGCCCCCAAGTTCCTCTCTCCTAGTGATTTCAACTTAATTGGAAACCTACACTAACTTTCTTTTTAATCTTAATAGCTCTAAGACCTCTGGAAAGGACTACCCCAACTCACATAGGATTCTTTTCTCCCTTTCTAAATACAACTGACTGGACCAGGGGCTAGTATCTAGACTTCAGGCACGGAGCCAAAGGCTGGACTCTGTTGTTTGGATTCTGTCTCAGTAATTACTATTAACAGAGACTGTGGTCAAGCCATGGGTTGGAGCTGGCAATGAAAGGCTATGATACAAAACAGGGCTAGGAGCTAGCTACTATGTGCAGACTGAGTGAGGAGGACACCAGTCAAGAGAGAGTGAAAGGGAAGTGCCACAGACGCAGAGCAGAGATGGAACAAAGAGGTCCCTGAGAGGTGGAGAATAACACTAAGTTGAAGCCTTTCCAATGCTCATCCCTGTGTCCTTGCATGTCTGTGAGAGTACCCACTGTGTCCTTAGTGCAACTTTCCTAGAGTTCACTTGAATGGCTTTCTGTTCCTTATAAACAAACCACCTGGCCCAGAATATTCAAAGCAACCTGTCTGATGTGTACTGTGTGTGAACCACTCGCCACTTCCTCACTGTGGCCCATACTTTTCCCATCTTGATGCTTTTGTGCACGTTCTCTTTCCTCCTGCATCTCTGCTTGGTCCTGTTTTTACCATACTTTAAGATGAAGTTTTTGAATGTGCTCTCTTCCAGAGCTTTCCCTGATTCCTCCGGGAAGATGTGATCTCTTTTTATTTGAACTGCCAACAGTACTTTCCACTTTTCTTAAATCATAGTTGATCTCGTATTAAAGTTATTTTTACTCATGTTACCTTGTCCTACAAGACTAAACTTTTTAGAGTCCAAACCGAACCTGTAATGGCAAGAGTTCATTAAGTATTTTTTCAATGAAGGTTCATTTTCATTTCATATAGGGCATGGCACAATGGCACTGATTTCCAAGCCTGGTTAACTGTCAGAATTACCTAGAGAACTTTTTCTTCTCTTTCTTTTTTAAACAAATACAAATGTTTGGGCAACATTTCTTGTGATTCTGATTGACTAGGTCTGGAGTAGATTATGGAAATCTATGCTTTGAACAGTACTAGGTGGTTCTGACCACCAGTCAGGTGAAGAGCAAGAACAAGGAGGTAGTCTTGTCTAGCTGTGTGGCCTTGAACACAAGGGGTTGCTTGGGACATGGCAGCCATCCCATTTGTTAAAAATGTTTTTGGCTTAAGGTTTTAAACTGCACTGAAATGCAAATCACAATTTAGGTACACCTTTATGTAAGCAGATTCTGGATCTATGGCTCTTAACCCTGGTTGTACTTAAGAATCACCTGGGGACTTTAAAATGAGAACCATTCTTCTATATCTTTTCATAAAAGCAGTTTCAGAAGAGAGAAAAGAAGAAATAAAGTACACCAAAAGGGGAAAAAAGGCACAAAACACAAACAGAAAACTGAAGATACACTCAGCCTTACTACAATTCTGTGTTGGACAAGCTTCGAACAGGAAGTAACTTAAATATTCTTTCTCTAATTTAAGGATATGCTTCCATGAAATAAAGGTAGCAAACTCAAGATGACAATCTTGACAACAAGATATATAAAAAGAGAACTTCTGGTAAGAGAATTCAAATTTATTTTGAAATGACTAGTAACATTCTCCCCAGTGAAGACCCAAATGCACATATTTGATGCCAAAATGAGTATGTTAGGGGCTTCCTTCTTCTATTACCTTAAACTCAGTTCTTACAACTGCATTTTTATATTTTAAAACCTATTCTCTTACCTTTCTAATGGTTGCAACACATATTGTGGAAAGATTTAATGGGTCTATAGCTTCCAATTTCATTCCTTCTTTGAACCATTCCCCACTCTGGTCTACTTCTTTCACCTAAAGAATCACATGAAAGCACATCTACTGTTATAAGTGTTATCATCTTAATAATGAAAATAATACCAATTTGAAAAGGGTTACCAGATGAAAATACCAAATGCCTTCTCCTATCTACCTAATATTATAACTCAAACTTCCATTAGGAAGTAGAGAGAATTCAGGCAAACAGACAGAATTTAAGAACAATAATCAATAGTTGTGACACATATGAATTACAAGGTCTTAATCCTTTTAGGTGAACATATGTAATTGTGATTTCTAAAATTTTAGGAAAAAACCCACAACCCTCTTTCAAACCTAATTTACAAATGAGGGTTCTTATAAAAACTTCTTACCTTAGCAAATAAATGTGGTGGTGTATCAAAATGTCCATCCTGTTTCTTTGTAATATCTACAAGGAAAAGTTACATACTAATCTGTCAGCATTTGTGAGAAGACCAAAAACCACGTTTCTTTGAAGGTTTCAAACTCACAGAGTATGTATATTCTAAAACATGGCAAAATACATGCCTTCTACATTTATGGTGAATAATATTCTTTAAAAGTCTTTCTCTCTTCAGAGTACCTGTGCTATTAAATACATTCAGCCAATTAGAATGCTGGGAATTCCCCAGTTAGGGAATTACAACTTTCGTAGTATGTTTAATGTGTTTAGTACTAAGTCTAACCACATTTAATCCTGCTATTAAATTAACTGACTAAATGAATGGAAATGGACACATTATCTTTCAATCTTTCAAATGGGCTGTATAAAAATGTGTAAGAAAACAAATGTAGTTGTGACCAAAAGTGCATTATTTTTCAATTGAGCACAATTGGAAGGGATATAAAGGAATTAGTTAGGACATTAATATTCTGGTGTGAAGCTTCCTTAATTAAGGCAGAATAAGCAACCCAGGCAACTAGAATGCTATTTTTGATCTATGTTGTTCTGTAGAGAATAACCAAGTCGTACAATTTGGCCTCAATGACAATTTCAACAGGAGTTATTGTAACAGGTACTTACCAGATCTTTTGAATCGATGGCCTATGCTTCGAGACCAGCCGATATGATGGATTAACGGGCTGTGCATATGGCACCAAAAGTCATCTGTTCTATCTTCACTCTCTTCATACACTAGTCTTAGTCTTCCTCCAATTACACTTTCCACCACCGCCACTCGTGTTCGACACAAATGCCTCTTGTCAACCACTTCTACTCTCATGCAAGGTTTGAAAGGATACTGCATGCTCTCTGAAACCTTGAAACAAAAGCAGAAAAACTGTTGGGAATTCATGACAAAAGTCTACAGATAATTTTAATATTGTACTATAAAAATACTGAGTGCACTTGGTATTTAACATAGGTCATCTGACTCGCTAAGTTAAAATAATTCCTTAATAAACTTCAAAGTTACTCCATTTTTTTAGAGCTCTCAATTGCTACTTCAGTCCTGTCTAAGATCCTGTCTTTACCTTTTGTGAGAAATCAGGAGGAAGTGTTTTGGCACCAGTAAGTCGTTTCACTAGAAAAGCTTTCCAGTTTGTATACTTATGCTGAATAGCTAAAACAAAAGAAATAACCAGTTACACTTTGGCAAAGAGTAGAACTGCTTCATAAGCTATTTATTAAAAAAAAAAAGTAACAAAATTCCCTGCAATTTAAGTTCTGAAGAAGAGTAACAAAAATAGGAAAACAAGTGTGTCTTGCTAGCAACCAAAAAACCAAAAAATATTATTTTAACTTCTACATCACTTTAATGTTACTAAGTGTGAAACTGCATTAAAGTGAACAAACTTAAATTACAGTAAGAGTAAAGAAGCTACTCACTTCTAGGAGGGACAAGAGGTTTTCCACTGGCTGCACACCAACCAACTGGATGGATATCAGAACCACATATATTGCACCAGAAGTCCAGACCAGAGTCATTTTCAAATCCTTCATATCTTAAAAGGGCATTGTAACCTGAAACCAACAAATCAATCACCACATAATAAGAAAACCAAATGAAATAAAACAGGATACAGCCGCTAGTAGTGGCTGTCATACATTAGTGAGCATCTGCAACAGATCTATTAACAGACGAACGACTGGGCCCCACACCCCAGAGGTTCGGATTCAGTAGATCAGAGAATCTGCATTTTTAACAAGTTCCCAGAGCTGCTCTACTACTGGTGTATGGATCAAATTTTGAAAACTATTTGGACAATACAAGTAGTTTAACTGCTTTCAGAGCATGGTCTCCTTGTCTGAATATATTTCAACTTTACCCACAGTTTCTTAAATTCTGAAAAATTCTCAGTGAAAACAAGGGTGGGAAAGTTCTACTAGAAAGTGTAGTTTTGAAAACAAAGAAAATTGTAGTAAGTTAGTATAATCTTGACAAGCCACAGAAATCCAGTTAAAGTACATTTCAAATAAACCGTTTTATCCACCTGATCAGGTGACCAAATTATTCTTGGATATTTTGGATGTGGCTACTTCAAGAGTTTTTTCTGTCCTGTTTATTTGGAAATAAGATTTGAAAATACTAGGTAAAAAAGTTCAATAAATACAAATAAAAGTATGTGAAATTAAAAACAAAGGTATGCGAGATCACTTGAAATCTGTATGTACTAAATAGGAAGACTGATTTCCTGGAAATAGTACATGATATATCCTGTTTATAAGTTAATAAACCTTATATTGATGATAGGTTTAATACAAGGACTTTAGTGCAACAAACAAGGCCCAATAAACCTCTATTTCAGGCTGGGAGCTAAGTTCAGTTAGCATTTTCATGTGTTAATATCTATTATAAGCAATAATTCATAGAACATGAGAGTCTGCTAACTGATGCTGAGCTCTAAGGTTCACAATTAACATCAGGTTCATTTCTAAAATGTCATTAAAGTGGCTTTAATGAGACATATGTTGCAATCAAATAAAAAACAGAAATGTAAAATCAGAGATGGAAGGCAGAAATAATTCTTGGATTAAATGCATTGATCTTAAGAGTTATTTAAATGCAACTGACTGAAACATCGAGGACAGGAACAGCATACTGCTGCTGTAATTAAGGTGTAGACAACAAGCATTTAGAGAGTGTTTATATAGCTGGGGAAACATTTCAAGGAAAAGATGGGAACTGAACTTGGTTAAGTATGCTAAGTACAGACCATGGGACACTCTTGAGAGAGTGAATAAAGGCATGGAGTGACCCAGGACACACTGGACGAGGGAGGAGGGAAACTAATCTCAGTAGAATAGATCATTTATGTTGGGGAACAACAAAAAATTTGGTCAGCGGTGTATGGTGCAACTCATCAGTAACTGTAAACGTGGATCAGCCTGATCCTTTAAGGACAAAGAAGCCACTAAAGATGTTCGAGCAGAAAAATGGAATTAAGATAATTTTTAGGTAAATTAGGTCTATCAGCAGTACACTGGTGGCAACAGGCAGGGTGTTTTGAGGAGAATGGCTGGAGGTAAGACTAGAAAGAGTAGGATGAGTAAGATACCTCTTCCAGTAATCTCAGGACAACTTTTATTATCTGAGTGGCTGCTCCCCCTCTGAAGCATTAGTGTCCTACCACACTACTCACTGAGCACCCTGTAGTAAAATGTATTCAACATTTAGCAGATGTGAACTTGCTGGAAAGAAACCAAATCTCACACGTCTGCCCATCCCCTGCCCACAGTGCCACAGTAGAAACCTCGCTCATTTACTTCATGAACAATGAGGTAACAAGGGCTGGGGTACATGGAAGCAGCGAGAATGAAGAAAAAGACAGAACCCAAAACAGGTGAAATTTTCAACAACAGTTTACTTTTGATATTATGGACCCTATCACTTTTTTTTAGTATTTCAATTTTCTGTTACTTTCAAAAGTACTTCCTTATACCAGGAGTTGCTAAACTATACATGGCTCACACATCTGGCCTACTGCATGATGTTTTTTCAGTCTGTCATCTAAGAATAGTTCTTACATTTTTAAGTGGTTGAAAAAAAATCAAGGAAAAAATAGTATTTTATGATATATAACAATAGTATGAAATTCAAATGTGCATTTCAGTGCCCATACATAAAAGTTTTCCTAGAACACAGTCATGCTATTCATTTGTGTATTGCTCTGGGTGCTTTTGTGCTATGACAGTAGAGTTAAGTGGCTGTGACAGAGACTGCCTTGTCCACAAACCTGAAAATATTTACTGTCTGGTCTTTTACAGAAAAAAATCTGCTAACCTCTGCCCTGTATCATACTTATTTCGCATAACTGGAAATTTGCAAATATGCTTTCTTACAAGTTACAAATATAATAGGCATTTTCAGTAAATTATTATGCATGCTTTTCACCTGCTAGTTTTACAATCCCAGCAATCCAGAAGACTTTGGTAGGTAGGCTGCAGTCTGTATTGGGAACTTCTACTCTCACATTTTCTGAGATATCACCCCAGCAGGTCCCCATAGGTGCCTGTCATATAAAAATTTTTAAATTATCATCTTATTAAACAAAGCCTAAATAAAACACATCATTCAAAATTGAGCACAACCATTAATCATGGAATTATTAAACAAAAAATACCATTTAATTCATTCATTTTTCCTCTAAAAATAATTTATTCCTCATTTCACAGAGTATTTGGAAAAAGCCAGTGTTAGGCACAAACTCAAGATGAAGAGAATTCACATATATTAAAACAGATCCATGTTGACTTCAAAATTCAATACTGCCCTAATGTAGGACTTGAGTAGCAATTTTTGTACAAAGTTGACAGAATTAAGAAATTCACTACTTTGAATATGAACTGAATAAGTATACTTTACCTTGACCTCTAATTTTAAACGATCTGGTCAAAGAGTAGAAAGAAAGATAATTCCAACCAGCAATGTGGTTTCCAAAAACATAGAGAAACAAAACTTAGTTATTTATATTTTCAACATAACTTAAATTTGTAGAATAGAAATAGTCTGTTAAAACAGACGCATGGCAAAAGCATCAGATAAAATCATTAAAAAGATGGAGCTAGAGAGTTTTGGAGAACTGCAATGTGGTAAATTGTTAAATCATTTAGTAATAACTAGCCTCCACACAAATGGTTAAGATGGGGACTCAAAACCGATTAAACGAATATCATAAAGGGATTTTTTCAAAATCTAATATATGTTCCCAAATTATAGTTTCCATTACATTTTAATCCTTAAATTTGAGGCAATTTACAACTATTTGGAATTTATGCAATGGTTAATTAAACCACATAAGTGAATTTAGGAATTTAAGCTGATAATACCAGTTTCTGCAGCCCTTGATAATGGCTCCTCATTAATTACAATTTAGAACCTTGATCACAGAGAAAGGATTAGTTAAGGTTATAAAAGACCTGATAATATGAATAAGTCAGGAAAAGACAAAATAGCTTCAAAGCTCAAAGATGAGTAAACAAAGATATCTATGAATTACACAAATCAGCCCCTAAATATTGGGCAAATATGTCTTCCGTGCAACGCTGCCCATACTTTGGTGGATGCTAACCCAACAGGAGCATTAGCCTAAAACAGTACTGAACCCCTATGCTCTCAACAGTTTACAGAATTTCTGAAGAAGAGGAAGAAAATGTCAAACCAAACATAGGATCAACTTATGGCTGTTGCTTTAAGTAGCGAGCAATGAATATACTTCAGTCACTTGAAGACAGTAGCTGATCTCAATCATTTGTGATTCTGGAAGGATACAAATAACTATCTTTCTGAGCTGTGCAAAAAATACTACATCCATTATGACTACCTCTTTCTGTTTTTAAATGGAAAGAATGGACTCTTCCGGTTCTGCTATCTTCCCCTATATCATTCTAGACTGTAGGGCCATCCCTATTGCCAGCAGATATGATCAGAAAAGGAGAGGCTGGAAGGAAGATAGGTAACATAGATTAAGCCACCATATATTAACACAAAGACCATGTATTAATTTCTGCGAGGATGAACCAAAGAGCAGACAGATGCAGTGAAGTATATGCATTAAATTAAGGTAGGATATCTACCCCTCTTCGTTTGGCTGCCAAATCTTGTGGAATGGGTTTATTTTTTGTTGAGAAGGAAGAGGCATGATTATGCTGACAAGCTGGGGGTTAGGTTGGCACACTACTAAATGAATTTGGACACAAGACTGACTGCCTTTTAAGCTAGATATGACAATGTCATACTGACTTTTTTTTTTTAAGTCTTAACAACTGTTTGGAGAAAATAATTTTTTGTCATATTTTTAAAAGAAGACACGTTATCAATATGATCACTTAAAAATAAAGTTAATGTTCACTTTAGTGGGAGATGTTATGTTTTGGTCCTACAGTCTGGATTGGTATAGGAGAAAGTAGCAGAAAGTGACATTTGTTCTTGCCTGTAAGGTTGTGGTTCTGCTAGGCCCTCTTAAACCAATCCATATGGTTCACTCTAAGAAAAAGAATGAAGAACAAAAACAGTAACAAAAAAGAGCACCATAGTCATTGCATAGTATGTGCTCAATGTGTTTAAAAGGTAATTTCATAGATATATCTGCCCTTTTGTTTAATGAATATTCTTAAGTGTGGAAGACTAAATGACCCAGGGCTTGAGAGCCATCTTCATCCAAGTCATCTGTCTTCTCTTGCTGGCAGGAGGGATTCCTCTGAAAGTCTGGATTGGCATAGCATGAACTAGCAGAACCATAATTTACAGGTAACAACAAATTTACCTTCCAGACTCAGGACGAGAGGTCCACCTCAGGTTCCTCCCAAACCAGGAAGATCTGCTTCACCACTTCCTGCTCCAGGGCCACTCGTGAGGGCTATCTGGGAGCGAATCTCCTTTCCTGCAAGGTAAGCTGTCATCAGGTCCTGCAGGACATGACCAAATCCAAATGCTGAGGGCTCCCCAACACAAATGTATGATAACCTCCACCTGACTGACTGTCTGTAAGAAAATAACACTGGGTGGGAAATGTCTTATTTTTTCTGCACTTCAGGAACATTCTCAGATAGTCCAACAGCCCAGATGTCTAGTATTTAGACTCTCAGAGGGCTGACACACTGTACACAGGATGCATTAGAGCAGAAATACAGATTTCCCTCCATAGAGCTGACAACCTATACCTTTTGATATTCACACACTATCTTCAATAGTAACAAAGAATTTAAGCAGGTAGAGGTTAGCCCTGAAGTTGCACAGAGATAACCAAAAGTTGATTCCAAGAATAATATAGCAAATACACAAAAAGCCACCATCAAAATACTTTGACTAATAGGCATACAGTCACTAAAGTGCATCTACTAGAGAAAGATAAGCGGTTATTTGGCCAAAAAGGGGAGAAAACATTATAGGAAATTAACTAGAAAGAAATCCAGAATTCTTAAATATTGTCTGCTGGAATTGGCAGGAAGTAGAAACAACAAAAACTGTTCCCTCTTTCTCCAGAAAGTCCACTCACTTTTTGATTTGATAACAGATTCTACTTTTTGGGGTGATGACAGCAGGGAGTGAAGGGAGTACAGGGGAGTACAAGGGGAGTACAAAAGGAAGGCGGGACGCTTGAGGTAAAAGTAAGACTAAGAATGAGAGACTGCTAGTGTATGTAGAAGAGATAGGAAGCAGTGGTTACTAATTTGAAAGGCATGAAACAGTCCATCACTTAAAAAAATTTAATGAAAATAATCTAGATTATTTAGGCTTCTTTTAAAACAGGTGATTTTTTAAAAACAATTTTCCTGCAGAGCATCTATTTTGTGGCTATGCTCACAACAGGTAGATCAGATGGAGCACTACCAAGTGCCAGAAACTAATTTTATTTTCATTGGAAAGAAATTCTGCAATCTACAATGACATACTGAAGATTCTAACTTTAATTAAAATGGATGTGAAGTTGTATTTATTCTCTATTTTCAATGGAACTGTGGTTAAGTGTGTGTGTATGGTTAAGGCTAGGGAAAAACAAAGAATGATTCTATTTAAAACAGACTATTTTACTAATAAGCACAGACCCAAAAAAGAGATCATGAATTTCACTATCAACTATTGTTACTGCACAAATGCAAACAAAAGGGCCTTTGTTTTTGTCCTTAAAGATTCAGAAATATACTTGTAATAATACATGTTGCAAAGAAATATGGATAACCTTATACCCTCAAAACAGCTGGCATACAGGTCAGGTACCAAAGAGAGGATAAGAAAGTATCATATGAGTAACATTGTGGAGGCAGGATGAAACAGTACGGTACACTCAGCTTTAAAGTTGCAGCATGCATGTGTACAAAGGATCTTTTTAAAAAAACATAACTATAATTTTTTTCAAAGGAGAAAAAAGTAGGATGATTACATTTCTGATTTTTGCAATGACAGTATCAATAAGATACCAGAATATATAATCTAGGCACCAAACAAAAGAAATCTTAAGTCTATAAATACATAACTAAAAGAGTATGATTTTAGCTTTTGTATGATTCACGTACACTTGATACTAGTACATTTTGGCTCGTGCTGTAATGCTTAGGAAAGAAATATTTTACTTCATTTTATAATGCAATTAATGAGAAGCAGAAGTGCTTCAATTTAAAAGACTACAGTCTTAAAAAAATTAAGACTGCTTTAAAGCTAAATGTTCTGCATACACACAGATTAATGAGAGGCTCTCTTGGGTTCAAACATAAATCATTAATAGGAGAAAAAAAATCTGTGAATTTCATTAATGTATAATTATATGCATTAATACCAGTGTACCTAAATGGCACGTGGTATTTTGGAGATTTTCCAGTTAGTATAGATAAGGTTACTGCTTTCAGAAGCTGTGAAATAATAGAAAAAATATGTATTGGTCTCTGCCCCTGTTACTGGCACAGAGCTCTTAAAACCTTCGTAATCTCCTAAGTGATAAGAGAACTAGATGTATCTTCTCTTCTAAGATTTGATCTTTGACCCTGATTCCAGACACAGAGCTCCTAAATTCTTTGGAATTCATTCAGTGACGAGAGTATCTTTTCTCTTAGAGAAAACAAGCTTATGGTTACCAGTGGGGAAAGAGGGTGAGAAGGGTAAACTGGGAGTTAGAAATTTGCAGATACTAAGCACTATATATAAAACAGATAAACAAGCTTATACTGTATAGCACAGGGAACAATATTCAGTATCTTGTAGTAACCTACAATGAAAAAGAATATATCTATGTATATGTATGACTGAAACACGCTCTACATCAGAAATTGATGCAACATTGTAAACTGACTATACTTCAATAAAAAAAATTTTTTTTTGAAAAAATAAAAAAGAGTATCTTTTGTTCTAATCAGGCAACTCTTTGTGAGTCCCTAGAGAGATTCCGGATAGGAATAGACCAAACTATGATTAGATGCTTGGAACTTTCAGCCCTATCCCTCATCCTCCAGGACAGGAAAGGGAGAGGGACTAGACATTGAGTTAATGACCCTTCAAGCCTATGTGATGAAGCCTCCATAAAAATCCCAGTACAGAAGGTTTGGAGGGCTTCTGGGCTGGTGAACGAGTACAGGTGCGAGGAGAGCAGCACGCCTGGAGAGGGCATGGAAACTCTGTGCCCCTTCTCACATACCTTGCCCTCCACATCTCTTCATCTGGGGCTCATCTGTATCTTTCATTATATCCTCAATAATAAACCAGTAAACCTAGTTTTTCCCTGAATTCTGTGAGCCATTCTAGCAAATTATCAAGCCCACAGAAGGGGTCACAGGAGCCCTGATTTATAGCTGATTCATTAGAAGTATTGGTGACAATGTGGGACTTGCAACAGGTGTTTGAAGTGGGGGCAATCTTGTGGGACTAAGCCCTTCACTGTGGTATCTGATGCTAACTCCAGATAGATACTGTTAGAACTGAACTGAATTGTAAGACACCGAGCTGATGTCAAAGAATTGCTTGATAGCTGTAAAACTCACACACCTTGTTATCAGAAGTATTGTGTGGTAGAGTGTGTAAATAACGGGGAAACACAGAAATGTTCTTCCTATAGGTATTTAATACAAACTATGTTAAAAAAGACTACATCAGCAGGTTAAAGCCCAAAGTTGAGAATTTCTATCCACCTACTAAAAAAGGGAGCAAGAGTTTCTTCATTTATAATAAGAGATGGAGATGAGCTAGGTAATTTTTAAGATTCCTTACAGCTTTGTAACCATATGATTTGGAATTAATTAAAAGTGATATTATCTAATTCAATGGTTTCCAACCTCAAGGACTGCCAAAGAAGAGGGAATCAAAGATCAGGGGCCAAGGCTCTGGCCATACACCCTACTTCAGCCAGATCAATCAATGCAGCCGCCCCTCATCCTAGCTATGTTTATTAGGGAAAGGGAAATTGTAATGCTTAAAAAAAAGTCTGAAAACTACCATCAAGATAAAATAAAAGCTGTATTACATATAGGGCAATCATAATATACAGATTCTTAAGTAGACATATTTAGTGACAACTGGGCTCCATTTCCATTGCTAATTATAAAAAAGGTCAAACACTGTGACTGATTATAAACCACTATGCATAGTAACAGCAGTAATCAAAGAGAATATGGTTCCATGATACACTTTGCAGAAACTCCCCAGAAATTTAAAGGTAGACCATGGAAAAGAGGAATTCTTTTGTTGAAATTCTGTGATTTTAGAACTAATCATAATCATATTTAAGTGCTGGAAAAATATAGTGTTTACCTGGGGTCCTTACTCCAAAGAGAGTTTGAGTTATGTTAAAGAAGCAAGGCAGTCAAGGCTGTGACACTGTCCCCACCCTCAAATCCTGGTTCAATCAGAGCAGCTCTGTTTCCATGTTACACATTGAATGTTTCAAAAAATTCTGTTTGAACAAAGAATCCCCCAGCAGCAGCGAAAGGCTCCTGAATTGTGCTCACGTTGGAGACAAGGCAGATGCAGTCTGGAGGAAGGGGCCCTACTGATGAACCAGTGTTAGAACAGACATCAAGTGTCAGAAGACTAGAAGACTGATGATTCAAGGAAGGATCCTGCACTTGCAGCTGTTCCTGGCAATAGGTTTTCTAAAGCTAAAGCCAGGAACTCTCCTTGGAGACCGTGAAAGCTATCTGAGGGGAAGAACCATGAAGAGCCGATTTCAAAGGACAAAACTAAGTATAGTATGAAGTCTGACTTCCTAAACCAAACGACTTCAAATGAAGATGCTGGTTAAGGCAACAAAGCAAACTTATTTTGTGCTAAAACATAGTAAGACACTATCAGTATAAAATGTTTCCTATTTGATAAGAAGCATGCAGTAAAGGAAGATGATAAGTGAAACAGGAAGGCATTGGGTGACAGATGCTTTGCTTCTGAGTGAGAAAGAGGAGGTTCCATGGTATCATTATTAATAATACAGCCATGGCTAGCTGCTCTGTTCTATGTGACAGAACACTTTAACTTTAAAAAAGCAAAGCTGAAAACAAAAATCAATTTCATTATTATAACAAATTTTCTAACAAAGAACTTTAATATAGTATTACTATTCAAAGATGTGGACATGATACAAATAAAAAGTATAATAAAATATTGTACTTTGGGACTCTGAAATGCTATTTAAAAAAATCCTACTTACATAAAATAGCTTGACACAGCTTATGATATTAAAACATAAAAAACAAAATAATAAAACAAAGATAGGAAAAGAGATAAAGTCTGTTCAGGAGACTACAGAAAAATG